CCGGGAAGAGCGCAATGATGGTGCCAACTTGGGCCAGTGAAGCAACGTCCTCCACAACTAGACTGAAGAACAAAACGACAGCAACTTGTTTGTTCCCCTTTCCCCAATTCCCCAGCACTGTTCCCATCCCCCCAATTCCCCAATAAAAAATAATAAAAATAATAATAAATAAATTACCCAGGCAACTTAATAGACATGATGTTTACCTTACTGTGTGTATAATAGCATTACAAAACAGGAGCAGGTTGCTTTCAGAGCGACAGCATCATGAGAGGTATCTTGCAGGGAAGACGGGCACCTCACTAAGGCTGAAGTGATGGGGACCCGGAGCTTCCCTGTCACTGACCTGTAAGTGGGTCCAATAGTAAAAAAAGAGATGGAATCCAGAAACAGCTGAACATGGGAAAGCTGGCACCACATTCCTCCTAGCCCTGCAGAGACTTCCGTTCCAGAGACTAGAAGAGATTTTGCATACCAATTCACTTTAGGAATCTAGTGTAACCTTGGTACCCAAGTCCAAGAAACAGAGTCCAGTAAATAAAAGTATATGCTAATGTATTTTTTTATTACTGGGGAACTGTAATATATGTTTTTCCAGGACCCCATCAGCTCCAAGTCAAGTAGTTGTCTCAATCCAGTTGTGGAGGGCGCAGCTCAGTGGCCCACATGGGGATCGAACTGGTAACTTTGGAGTTATGAGCCTGCGCTCTAACCAACTGAGCTAGCCGGCCACACCACTAATGTCTCTCTTGAGGTCGTACATAAACATCCTAAACAAATGATTAAGATGTAATTATTCAGAAGGATAATATATCATGACCAATTTCTGCCCCACCTCAGGAATACAAGGTTTAAGCAGGAATTTATGTAATTCAGCACATTAACAAATTAAGAGAAAAAAATCTTCTGATCATCTCAGTAAATGCACTATAAATGTTTTATTCAAGATGAATAATCTCAACAAACTAGGAATACAGAATAACTTTAAAAAGAACAGTAAACATCAGGGTGAAATGCTGGAATTTTTCTATTCCTGAAAAGGGTAAGACAAGGATGGTCCACTATCACCAGTTCTATTCAACATTGTACTGGGTGGGTCTGCTCAATGCCATTAAATGAGAAAAGATTTAATGTTTATAATGGCACAAACAAAATTATTATTCAAGGATGATATGATCATGTATGTTGAAAATTGGAAAGGATCTAAAAGACAAACTTTTGGAATTAAGCATATTTAGCAAGGTTGCTGGACAGAAAAAACAATACACAAAAATTGTATCTCTATATACCTGTTCAAACAAAATATAAAATTTCAAAAAGGATACAATTTTCTCTTTTTTTAAGACTTTTATTAGGGGATTGGGGGCTGGGAACAGTGCTGGGGAATTGGGGAAAGGGGAACAGACAAGTTGCTTCCTTCTGTTCTTCAGTCTAATTGTGGAGGACGATGCTTCACTGGCCCAAGTTGGCACCATCATTG